GCAAATATTACTAAAAAACAGTATGAATAGCACAACAATGTTAATATTTTTGCGGAAAATCTAAATATATATAACTCAAAGATGACTGACTGACATAGTGATCTATCAACGCACAGCCCAAACCGCTGGACGGATCGGGCTGAATTTGGCTTGCAGTTAGATGTTTTGACGTACGCATCCGCTAAGAAAGGATTTTAATCATTTCTACCCCCAAGGGGATAAAATAGGGGACGAAAGTTTGTATGAAACTTTGTTAATTTTAAACCGATCGGGCTGAGACTTTGCATGCATTATGCTTATATGACGTAGGCGTCCCCTAAGAAAATATTTTGATAATTCCACCCCTAAGGGGATAAAAAAAGAGATGAAACTTTATTTCAGATATTTTACACGATATAATGAATAAATATTCGATAGAAATGCTGCTCAAAGTAACGTTACCACGTGGACAAAGTCGCGGGCAAAAGCTAGTTATTATAAATAGGTTGGCGGTAAAGTTTCTTCGCATTTTATATGACAAAATGTTTTGTATTTACATTTTGTTTGATACCATTTTGCCATCTTGTAGCTAGGGATTAGATCCCTTTGCTATATAAATTTTGAAGCATCTGATCAAAAAAACAGAGGCAAGTGGTTTTGGTACTCCTCGCGTGATGTTAATCTGCTACTGCCTAAAGAATTCTGAAGAAACCGAAACAGATGGAAATCTGAAGGCGCTATACGGCGGATGCATTAAAACCTACCAGGCTCTCTTAATTTTTCTGAGTGGCAAAAGACGTGCGAGGTCTAGTAGTATCATGATGAAATCAATTTTGCACTCATTGTGCTATACTGAGTAATTAAAAAATCCACCAGTCCCAGGACCCATTCCATCTAGGGGTAGGGGAGACTGGTGGATTTTTTAAGTATTTACATTTAGAATAAATTCTCATTTTATTTCAGTATTTAAAAATACTGGACACACTTTGTTTAAAAAGTTTGAAATCTAAGGACGAAATTAATATTCTAATATTCAGAATCTAATAGGTCAAAATTAAATGGTAAACAGAATCCTTGATAATGGTTGGTAAACAATTTTTAAAATAATATTTTGAAGACATTCTGTAACGTAATACCCTTTTATCCTGAAAGACAATCCGACTTCGTTCAAGTTCGTTTTTAAAACGAAATATTTATTAAGATATTCAAGTTATGACAATATTATTTTATAATGGGTTTAATTAAAACAACACTATATATTTTGATGTACAGCAAACATTAGGTGTGCATTCAAAATTAGTTTTTACAAAACCACATTTGCCTAATAAATATTTAAATTGGAAAAACATTCTAACAAAGTATTCAATAAAATACACGATCTTTTTTCGATGATATCAATAAGTCGTCTAAGTATTTAGGTATGTTATTTGACAGGACGAATCCAGTTATACTAATATTATAATAAAACTCGATTGTTTGTTTACATTTACTTCTTTTTCTTTGTAAAAATCTATCTGAAAAGATAATAATTTACCTACGAGAAACTACGTCATAAGCGGGCCATAATTTGTGCAAGCGAAGCCGCGGGAAAACCACTAGTTTTCTTGATGTCGATACAATTTTAAGGGATTAAAGCCAGGCCATTTTATTTCGAATGAAAAAAGAATTTAGACAAACGGTTACATCCTCAGCTTTTTATTGATATTATTGAGTTTTAAAATTAATATGAGACTTACGGCCAGAAGCTTCATTATATATTACATAACATAATAAACAACTGGAATCGAAACAACGGAATACTAAATAGGCGTAAAAAATGATATTTTTAATGTTTAATACAATTCAAACGAATTCAACTGACATAAATATGTTAAGTATAGTTCGCGTTGTAGTCGAAATTCGGACAAAAAATATCAATAGACAGAACATACATAATAAATAACTAATACTATTTGTACATAATAATAATATTTGTGAGTAGTTATAACATTTAACTTACTTATAATATTATCTATCTATTAGTGTAAGCAGCGTGAAAATCTCGAACGAAAGACGTGAAGATTTCTTAAGAGTTTATTCTGTTCAAACAAATGCGACCTAGAACTGTTATTTATAATATCGTTTTTCATTCTTTGGTTACCTGCTTGGTGGACTTAAACTACATATGCGAGTGTGCAAGCGACAACATAAATATATAATAAAATAATATGACAATCTTATACTAAATGAAACTCTTAAGTTATTCGCCGTTTCTATAACTAGGGTTTCGTTCCGCCCTATTTACTTCAATCAAATTATTATGAGACGTGCGAACACAGTGTAACGCAAAACCAATTAATTTGTTAGACGAGACACGGCGACAAGTCGCTTTGTTAACTAAACTGTTAAATTAACATTATAGAATTTAATTATTTTGTTTATTTTATGTAACATATTAGAGTATCATGGGAAATAATGTGGCAAACATTTTTACATGTATACAAATATGTGTAACAATAAAAATGCTATAAAAATATACAGAAATGTGTAAAAACAAACCATTTAGTTGGTCCGGTTATTAATTACCGTGTTCCAAAAATTAAAAAATATCTCACCTCTCTAGGCATGCCAAAATCAACAAAGACAGAACACACAAACTACCATAACGACGAAAAACCCAAATCTAATTACTCACTACCGTTTCGTTGATTGATACGTTACATTGTTCGATAAAAAACTCACTAAAACCATTGCGACTAACAACGATCAGGAATTTTATAGAGAAACTGAAATAATTCGATCGTATTGCACGCGCACTACCACCACCGTTCAACAATGTCTATAAAATGACGGTCAGCATGCTTGTTTGATGGCTTCCTAAATAGAAAAAAAAAAAGAATTGGGTGCATTGTTTACTATTTGTATGAATCGGATAGAGTGCAAGTGTTCCGTGTCCGTGTCGGTTCCTGTGAATACCATTCAGTAAATCGGAACGGATGACTGAACTATGTTAACAATACAATGCTCTACTCGCAACGATCACCGACTAACTGTTAATTACATTGACACTGATCTACTGCAAAGTTGACTCTCGATCCTCTCCGTTAAGTTCTCAAAGTATTAGTACCGCGGAGATTTGATGAACGGCGAAACATGGCCGAGTTATTGTTTTTTTTCTGCTACATAGAAAGTAGAATAATGTTGTTTATAAAAACAAGATAAAACGCAATTGTATAATAGCTATCATCTTTCTCAGGGGCGATCACTTTTGCTTATTTATAACGAAATATAGGAAACTAAAATATTTTCAAAGTATAATTTGATGACACGTCATATTATTTTTAAGTTCTTATTGATTTCATTATTAAAAATAAGACCAAATTGTCAATTCTTAATAGACATTGAAATAAAAAAAATATATATATAAATATCGTATATTTGCAACTTGGAGTTCAACGTCAGAGAAAGTCATGGCTTTGGCCTAGCTGTTCTACATTTACGGCAGACTAGTTTAAGTTCTTCATAGGTTCATTTACTTATCAAGCTATCGAGGACTATATTCTAACCGCCTTAATATGGCACATAAATTTATATGATTCAATTCTTTTAATCCCTAATTTATTCAAAATAAAAGGGTAAGCCAACGACACATCTGTCCAGTTTGCTATTAGCAACAGCCGAAGCTTGAATCAACAACAACGTATGAGAACTTGCGGTCATGACCAACATGTTTAGTTTAAAAATCAGACATTGTTCTTTTGAGTGGCGGCTGGCCGCATGACGCAAGATATGTGGAACATTTGCGTGCGGCTTGTGCAATCGAAACTATGCATTATCAAACTTGAATTCTCAACGTGAACCTAGCTTCTTAAAAATCCCTCCTTTTACTATGCGACATTACTATAGGTATTTTTTGTCATAGCGCACGTTGAGAACGGTAGTGACACAATGCAAAAAATGCGATTTTGAGTAATGAGCGTTTAAAGTTCAAGAAATTGTAATCAGCCCCTATAAACAACGTATCGTCACAACGCCACCTAGCAGTTTCTATGCAAGCTACGTTCACAGGGATCTTTGCATTTTAAAGTTTATACTTAACAAAGAAAAATGTTGCCAAAAGTAAAAAATACGTCGTTTTTAGTTAGTGACATTGTCATTCTCAACATGCGATAGATGCATTTAGATCCTTTTTCAGAGCTCATAGTCTACGAGGGCAAACGTATTTGATTAAATAATAAACAAATTCCAAAAACTATGATACTTAAACATGTAGCTGTGTTTCTGAAGGATCTCTCCCATAAACTGAATTTAGATATCCCTAGATATTAGATCATGTTGATATATATATATTTTTTAATGATAGTGTAAGACGACTGGTATTAATTGTTAAATAGGTATTTGACAATTTGTATTTTATTATTATTCTATATGTAGTTTATTTATATTTATTTATCTATTAATATAAAATTATATAATATTTATAATTCGATATTAAAGGGTACCAGGGACATCATAACACAATATTGTTTTATGATATCCCTGGTACCCTTTAAATTGACTTCTCTCTTATTTTCTGATAATATGACGTTTTTGGATTTTAATTTTTAGTGACCTATAGTATGTTGTTATTTTAATTTGAGTATACGATTTTTTGTAACGGAGACCCTATATATAGAACAGAGAGAGCTTAACAACTCGTTGATTTCTGCTTTTTGACTCCTAGTGACCTTTCCATGGCGTGCTAATTAAGAATAGATTCACTATAAATAGATAAAGATCATTATTATATAGATATATACATACCTATATGATAATACAATATAAATTATATGTATTTTAATAAATTATTAAGCAAGATAACCTTCATGACTTGCCAGTTCTAAAAACAATACTTATCAGTTTGTGTTGTTACCAAAAATGCAAATGATTTGCCTTAAAGTGAAATCAATTTCAAAGTTGGCCTAATATTATATTATAAAAACTAATGTTAAAAATATATTTGATAAGATTACTTAATTTCAAGTTTGCTGAACACGATTAGATCATTTGATAGAGGAAAACGACAATATTTGTATTGCGGGCAAGGTTGAGTTATCTTTTAAGAACACAACAAATCTTACCTTATCTGTATCCGACGGGAGGGTTCCATACCCATACCAGCTCCGTGCAGCTTTCAACCGAGGCTCTTCTCTTGGAGACAAGAGACCGCTGCCCCATCGTACAAGACCTTCGGCTACAGCAGCCACACTGGGCGCCCCAGGACTTCCGTTCGGGGAACTGGGTGATGCCAACCCCTTCTCCGCTACAGGAGGCAATGTCGGCCTCGCACATCCCGTCCGCCTCTCATATATCCTCTTAACACTAGGTTCATCAATATCAGTCTCCAACAAACTCTTCTTATCACTACCTCTCTTCACCTCTGCTACCCTTTTCACATCCTGATTAGATGGTTTTTTCGGCTCCGAGTCTCGTCTCTTCGCACTTTCGTTGGACTCCTGCCTACATAACAGAGCTTTCTTCAAACTCTCGCTGGAGTCCTGTTTCGATATCTGGCCCTTTTTGTCATCCTTTGGCTTCTTCTCGTCTTTCGATAAAAGTGACCTTTTGAGGCTATCATTTGAGTCTTGCTTGTTGATGAGTTTGCGAGGGCATTCTGTGTTTAGCGAGTCTGTTGTTTTAGATATCAGGAGTTTGGGGTAGTCGTACGGTGTGTGGTCAGTAGGTGGATTGAGTTCAAGGGAGCGACGATTTTTGCGTTTGTCAGCTGGAGCTATTTGTGCTTTGACAGGAAGCAACCGCCGCGGAAGCAGGCTGCGGTGGTCAGCGAGGGGCGACTCCGGTCGCAACATGATTGGCGGCGATACTGTAATGCCGCACACACGGCCCCTGTAAAGAGAGAAAGATAAGTTAAGAGAAATAAATGTACCGCGCGCATTTTGAGAAATGTATAAGATAATGCCTCAAAAAATCACTTCAATTATTTCATCTCCAGTGACTTGTTTTTGATGTTTATGTGTATCTGTGGTTATGTTTAAATGATTTAAAAAAATGCAATTAAGTTAAAATTTTACAGGGGAGGCTAAGGTTATAAAACAGCTAGTATATTTATATTAAATCCCCTACAATGACTTTATTATAGCATTGGCTTATAGGTGTAGTTGATGTAGTACCTAAGTAATACACATGTGTAATTTAAAAAAGGGAACAAAGAATGGTCTTAAAATGAATGCGTTGTGGATATTCGTTTTTCACAACAAAAGAGTTACAAGAATACATCAGTAATAGACAATGGAATAAATGACAATGTAATTTGTTTGTGGCCGTTAACCATAATTATACGAGTATACTTATGTGGGTTACTGTGACACAAACAAGTTAAAAATTAAATTTACTTTGCAGAATGAACTGCTAATATGTACGAGGGTCAAACTGAAAGTTCTTAGAAAATCAAAAACTGATTACATTAGCCAGTTATTAGTTTTATTATATCTTTTCAAAATATTGTCCATTCACGTCAATACACCGCTGCATGCGATGGAACCACTGGGAAAAGCACTTTGCCCACTCGTCCTTAGGGGTCTCTTCAATGGCATCGCGATACGCAGCCACCGCTTCTTCAGCATTCATAAACCGCTTTCCTTTAAGTTTTTCTTTAATTTTTGGAAATAAATAAAAATCACAAGGCGCGAGGTCGGGGCTATACGGCGGGTGACCCAGTAATTCAACGTTTGATGTCGCCAAATAGTCGATCGTTCGCTTGGCGGTGTGCGACGAGGCGTTGTCGTGGTGAAGGAGGATCCTACTGCGAGGTCGTTTCTCTCGAACTTTTTCCAAGACAAGTGGCAAACAATTGGTAGTGTACCATTCTGCAGAAACTGTTTTTTGATCCTCTAACACAATTGTTGCAAAATGACCTATCCTTCCAAAGAACGAGGCCACCATTTTTTTTCCCGCACTTCGATCTCTCTTCACTTTAGTTGGCAACTCCTCGAAAGGAAACACCCACTGAGCAGATTGTCTTTTGGTTTTAGGATCATAACAGTAAATCCAGCTTTCGTCACCTGTTAGTATGTCGAACACAGCATTTGAGTCACCTCCGTTAAATCTTTCAATCATTTTACGACACCAATCCACACGATGGAGTTTTTGAGCCTCAGTCAAATTATGAGGTATCCACCGGGCGCAAAGCTTCCTGACCGCTAAATGTTCGTGGAGGATTTTGTGCACTTGACTCATACCGATGCCTAAGCTTGTCCGAATCTGTTGATAGGTCACTCTTTTGTCAGTCTCTATCATACGCCGCACAACACAGATGTTATCTTCAGTCGTCGCCGTAGAAGGCCGTCCCTCACGTAAATCATCAGTGAGATTAGTGCGACCACGTTTAAACTCATTAAACCAGTTGTAAACAGTCGCACGAGATGGGGCTTCATCGTGAAAGGCCAATCGTAGTCTATCATAACTTTCTTGTTGACTTAAATGACATCGAAAGTCATAAAAAATCATTGCACGAAAATTTTCTCGTGTTAAATTCATGATGACGTGACACAGACAATTTTCAATTTGCCGCCAAATCGTAAAACAAATGACAAATGAATGAAATATATACTCAGTAATATTGGCAAAGAGTTATATTTTCAAATTTTAGAATTATTTTTTTATTATATTGTTTATAAGTGGCCAGTTCTAAGAACTTTCAGTTTGACCCTCGTATTTCAATTCTGCTAATATTAACGTACAATTAATTACATTTTACTATGCATAATTTTCCGATAATAGGCAATATACATAACAAAAAGGAATGGCGTCATGAAAATTTATGTTTTTTTTTTTAATTGTTCGATATTTTTGGTATTTTTTAACTAAAGAGAAATAATTGTGTCCAAGGAGATGTTATTGGTATGCCATTTATCACACTATAATTACAGTTACCGAATAACCAAGTTATCCCCTTAAAAATATATAAACAGTAGCTTGTTTAAACCAACCAGATGTTGCCACTACATTTGCAATAAATTAAAATGTTTCACTTAGAAACACGGTGTTTTAGTTGCGTTTAGATCTCCAGTCCAGATTATAATTCAACAGATCGAGTTGAAAGCAATTTCAATATTCTATACTTTTGTGTGTGTTTATAGAGTCAAAACATAAGTTATGAAATTGGCTTAAGAATTTTAATAACAACGACAATACCAATCTTTATTTTCGCAGCGATAAAATGAACTATGTCATTGTTCGTAGGTAGCTATCTCCTGTTTACGACGACGTGTTGACAACAGATAAAAGCACGTGTTTGCATAATAAACCATTAAGAAACACATCGGTGTCATTCTATTTTAGCGTTTAACCCGTAGCCAATAAAACGCAATTGCGTTAGTGATAACTAAGACCTAAGATATGAAAAAAAAAACGAGAAATGATTCGCGTGATAGGGTATCATCATAATGTTTACTGTTTTCACACGGTGTCAAAGTGCTATACCCTCCTTTTGATCCATAGTTTATTATATAATCACAGTAATATATATTGATATGTAACACAAAGATTATAAAAATGAATATGTATGGGAATGTAAGGAGTGGAATACCGACGAAAAGATTGTTGTGGCGACATCTATCACGTCGCATCAAAATCGTCACAATAAAGGCCTGCAAAGCGAAAGCTTCAAGTTACATCGAGTAGTCACGAGATGGTGCCAAAGTACCTGCATCGCGCTGACTAAGTTTCGCCGCAACTTAAAATAGTACAACGTCTAACCTACATCGATTTGACCTCGGTCCCTGAGCTACCAACACCCAACTCGAAGGCAGACAATTTTCCTTTAATCGTTGCTATCTCCAAATTGCACCATAAACACCTTACTGGTCCTACAGAGTGAAATATGATATTATCTTTTCCACACATACATATTATGTGGAAGAAAGAAGTAAACGTTGATATGATTACTGATCGAAAAGTATGGAAGAAGGAAACGTATTGCACCAACTCAAAATACGATAAATTGGGACAAGAGACTATGAGAGCAATTAAATGATGATGATTCAATCAGTACTAATATTATGAATGCTAATATGCAAGGTCATTTGTAAAACATCAGCAATCTCGCAGGACTGGATAGCAAAAATAATAAACAACAATATTTGATCTACGAGTTAAACCATAGTTAAATAATTTGAACATAAATGATATTTCAAGTTTTTGTTGCACAGTCAACAGCACGTCGGATTATACAAAACTGTCAAATTTCCCCATTCGATTTTCAATCTTATCCTTTGCGGCTAGAGTGCAAAATTGATTGCTTAAATTTGACATATTGTAGTAATCTGACGTATGTACTGACGTGACTTGTAACATTTAAAAGTTTATGTTTTATTCATAGACGAAGGACGACGCTTCGCTCGCGCGCTTTGCCTATAGTACAAGATCCCCTTTTTTTAGCTCCTGACATAAATATGTAATTGAGTTTTTAACGGTTGGTCACTCACTACAGGTGCTGGAGGATGCAGAGGCCTGGTGGCAGTGGCGCAATGTAAAGTACGTAAAATCGACACACATTTAAAAGTGCTTTTTAAATTTAGCGATAAACTTGTCAGTACCCTTCTGCAGATCTCAGAAGTTGGTATGAAAATGAGCACCGAAAAAGAGTTTCGTAATGGTTGACAGTTAATTTATTGCGAAACTATTATTAGTCAGTTAATAAGCAAACTCAGAACTTCATTTAATGGAACAAATAGATTCAGCAATCGCTAGAAGCTCATTTAGGTCCGCCGCCGCCACCAGGTTCATCACCCGATTCTCGCATATTTTTGTTCGAAACAAAACATTCGAAATGTTTGTCTCATCAAGACGCGATCTAGCTACTTAGTAGCTCCGGGAAAAATTTACACCCTTTTACAATAATGAGGAAGTATTTAAAAAAAAAAAAACATGAGAACCCGAAATCAAACTAGATGTTGCTACGGTACGTTTTTGATTTCTCCATGACAACTCTTCCGGTTTTCTTTCATGTTTAAAAGTAAATTAGTTTTCAGAACTCAATAAACAACTCATATTCTATTTGACCTTTTTCGTATTTGTATTGATATTTAAGTTTCGAACTTTCATATTTTTTTTAATATGTTAGTTAAAAGGAACGAAAATGGCTGTCTTTGGTCCGTTCGTTTCCTGCAAAAATCAACTTTCGCTAGAGTCGCCATCTAGTGAAGGTGCTTTTTTAGTGCTTTTTTTTTTAATATTTCCTCATTGCGGATTATGGTTCGGTTTAAATACAACGAGTATTTAAAATGAACCGAACTGATTTAAATTACTATACCTAGATCATTTTAAGGAAAGTGAAAAGGATACATCGACTAAAAACCGGTTTCATTCTGAGGTTTATCAACCCGTTTTATATACGGTATCGATATTAGGCAAAAGCGGAGGTAAAGGTTTTAAAATATCAAGTAAGTAGTTAACGAACTGAACTTCAGTTTGTCATCCATATGTTTACAAGCATTTATTTAAATACAAAGACGGTATCTGTATGTTATGTTCATCAAATCTTGTAATTGAATTAGAAAGCAATTATCCTCCACCTACTAGGCTGAAATTTTGCAAGCCTTATCTTTCCAAACTTGGCTCGGCAGTTTTCAACTTTTACTACTCTTATATCCGAGAAGTAATGAACTATACAGTAGTATAAATTTAAGCCTAACATGTGTTAAATAAGGTGTAGTTAGTCAACTTAAAGCTATGTAGTTACAGCATATAGAGTAAGAAGTTTGGCTTTACATAAGATCTGAAATCTTTTTGACGGTGCGAGCCATATGTGCTCTTGCCAATATGTCACATTTAATATAAATAAAACAAT